TTTCCTGCTTTCCTCACTTCCTTGGTTTCTCTGTTGTAGAATGTAGGTACCATGAATTGTTTAACTGACAGAGGTTCTTCTTCCCTTTATAACTTTAACAGTGTCTCTAGGCCAAGTTCTAGTTCACACAGGCTTAGAGAGTTTGTGCATGGTTTCAAATCCTTCTTCTTCAGTGGCTTTACTCCATTTCTCCAAGACTAATGGAGGTGGTGTGGATGTGGGATACTGGTGCTAGGAGAGCGTATTGAAGACAGACTCATGATGTCCTGGACTCAGCAACAATATCGGGACATGAAACTGAAGGTTCTAACTCCAGTGGGTTGGCTTATTTCTCTATTATATGCCTTATGTGCATTCGAGTTGGTTGAAATACAGAAAATAATTCACAGACATTTTTGATGGAAAAACTTCCCATTTTTTCACTGGAAAACTTCCTTGTAAAAAAAAAATTCTGGCCAAGTCTAGTATTCTTGTAGACCCGATCACTGTGGTATGTAAGTGTTGATCTAGGCTATAGTTAGTAGGTTTTGGTAGCACAGTGATGACTGGTTGTGATTCAGAACAGTGGCCAGTTCCAGCTGCTAGATTCGACTAAAGGAGCTACCAGTTCCTGTCAGAGGCTCTGATCCAGCAAGGTACTTCAGCGAATGCCTAGTGTTAAGCACATGAGTAATCTCATTGGCTGTTCACATACTGGGCATGTGCTTACAGCCTTGCTGAATTGGGGCCTGCACCCCATTACCTTCCCTGAAGAGGGTCATATAAATGTGCCTCCAATATATTTTAGTCAGCGTTCCACCTTAATTTTTTTTTAAAAGGTGTCCTAGGATGGTTATTAGTCCAACATGCAGAGTGCAAACAGTCTGGCCATAACCAAAGCGGACGTGGCGGACGTGCTCGGATTCAGACTGTAGGGCCAAGGTTAGCCACTTACCAAGGAACCCCGCTTGTACTGACTATACCATGTGGAAGGCTGCTCTTTGGGCCAACGAGCCATTTTGCTCTGTAAAATATGAGACGGGTTAAAGACCAACAGAAAGTGGTAGGGTGCCTCTTACCAGTTTACCGCGCTTGAATTCACTGAACCAGGAGCCCGGGGTTTCCTTTGGCCAAGAAGTAATTCTAGCCTAAATTGTGGGCGGGAAAGTGGAAGAGAGAAAGAGAGAAACAAAGAAAGAAAAGGTTACATTCAATTGCACATCCTGGGTCTGTTTGTCTCACTGAAACTGTCCAACTTTGTTTAACACATAGTTTCTTAAACTTTATACACTGGTAATGAAAACAGTCCACTGAGCCCTAGGGTCCTGACAGCTTCGAAATTAGAATGTTCACCGCTTGACATTGGGGTTAGGACATTCCACCACTGCACACAGGTATAAACTGCCTTGGTACCACCTTTCATTGCTAAGAGGTTAATGATCTGTAACCTCTAGATATCTGCTGATGGAAAATTGGCATCACATTTTGCAGACGTATGGCAAAAAAAAAAGAGAGAAAAAGTATTAGTGGTAAATGATCCATTTATCTACATGGGGATTGGTGGGGAGCAAGGATGGAAAAGCAGCAATGAGAATGGAGAAGGCTGATGTCAGTCCAATGTCAAATCCAGATGTGCTGGAGCAAGGAGAGGCTAGGCTAGGAGAATTAATAAAACACCAGCATCTGCTTTGTGTGTTTGAGCACCAGTAACATACTGTAAATGGAATGTGTAGTCCTTGGCAGGTAATGAACCAGAATACATGGTGGAGTCCCAACTGAACAGTCTGTAATGAACTTGATAAGGAGATGAGTTGCCAAACCATCCTTCCCAGAGGACCCTTTACAGCTGTGAATTTGAATATTCTCTTTTCAGTCAGAACAAGGGATGTGTTTAATGGGGGAGGAGGCAGGGATAGAGTTTAGTTAATATTCCCTCATTATTCCACTAACTTCCTCACTGTTCCTTTCACTCTCTCCAAGAACAATGGCTGAACTACATGTAGGTGCCTTGGGATTATTCTTTCCTTCACAGGAGGAGAACCATAACATGAAACGGTGCATTTTTGCCATGCTGAGGATGCACCGAGATGGGATACATTTTTCAGGCCATGCATCGGCCCATAACAAAATATCCACAAATACCTATGCAAGTAATTAATGTTAATGAGGTAGATAGTTTCATTATTGCATATGGAATATAATAGGCTGGATTCTCCTCTCACTTATGCCAGTGTATGTGATAGAAGAATCAATCCCACTGGGAATATTGCAATAACTTGCAAAGTCAACACTGTAAGGATTTTAATACTCAGATTTTGATAGTTTAATAATCAATGACTGGAGGAGAATAACGGTGGTCTAACACCAAAGAGAAGAAATGTATCTTCTGTTTAAACAATCCCCAAAAGAATCCCTGGGAAATTCTGCACTGCACATCACTTGTTCCATGCTGATGTATATTTCTAGGGGTTGAAATTATCTCAGCAAGTGAACGTCTTAAATCAGGGTGCACAGGAGCAATGAATCTCTCTTGTCTATACCCTAACCTAGCATGTGAAGACCTTCTTGATGGTACTGAGAGGATCCTTGACAGCCACCTTGGAAGAGATCACATTTACCTAGTGGAGAAACTAAATTTAAGAGTAGGTCTTTACACCTGGTGATCAGCCCCATAATATAAAGCGGATGGATATGGGGCAGTGAGAAGTATCTTACTGCAACTGAAAGACACTTAGAGAACTTGTCATGGTCAACTGGATGTGACTGGCTGAGTTATTACTGGGGGGATTCTTGGAAGCATGAGGATGGGAGAGCATATTGTTGCCCGATTCACACCCGGTCTGTGTACCGACTGAATGCCATGAACTCTCCTGATCCTAGGCGTGGTAGTTTGGAACACCCAAGTACCCAACATGAATAACAGGAGAAATTACAGCAGAACAACATTTCTCCACTATGTCAGAAGACTCGGTCAAAGTAGAAGAGGAACCAGCAGTACTGAGGGACAAAACCATCAGAGTAGCAGTCACTGCTGAATTGGGGATAAAAAGAGTAGATTAAATAAACCTCATGGTGAACTACAGTAGAGACAATGATGGAGAAGTTTGCCTTTGTTATCAGCATTCATCATGCTTCAGAGACCATCAAAACCTTGCCCTAAAACTGTGTAAAAATTGCTTACTGATTCAGTGAAATGCGCTCAGTAAACATAATCTAAAACCAATCTTGAATCTGACATTAACAAACACATTGGATCTTTAATTTTTACTTTCCATTGTTGAGTTTATCTGATCAAGGTGACTGGCTATGAATATGCACAATAGGAAACACTCCATTACCAGCTTCAGAGGAAAAATATACAGTTTGTGGGAACTTACTCCTTCAGATTTCTTATCAGGGAAGATACAGGTCTCTCCACCAGCTGTGAAGTTACAGTAAACTTTGAAAGAGTCCCTTGAACATCCTTGATTAGGATCAACCCAGTATTCACCTGGAAGTTGGAGGAAAAGGGATTAGCCTATATGAAGTTAAGAATGTATCAGAACTTCCAGAACTTCCTCAGGATCAAACCCAACCATTTTCATCCCTGGGATAAGATTACATTACATGTATGTGGACAGCCAACACATGTTTCTCCTTATATAGTAATACAGACCGGGATATAACAAGACTCCACAATCAACACGCAAAGTGCAGTATGTGGAACAGTGCATAAACTCAGAACTGGAACACTACTACGGTGATCCTACTGCAGCCTTATCTGCACCAGGGAAATTTCCAAATAAATGCTTCATTACTTCCAACACCTACTAGTGGCTGTTGGAACAGGTGGATAGCCATAGTGTAGACAAGGCTCCAGTGGCCAGACCCACAATCTGGCCCTCAGTACATATCTATACAGTACTTCATGCTTGACATGTTGGATTTATAGTAGAGCTGGTTGGATATTTTCTGTCAAAAATGTTTCAGTGGAAAAACTGGGTTTTTGACCAAACAAAATTTGTCACGAAAAGTG